AGGAGGAGGGAGGTGGGAGGGAGGAGGGATTAGGAGGAGGAGGAGGAGGAGGAGGAGGAAGAGGGAGTACGGTGGCGGAGGACTAGGAGGGAGGAGGAGGAAGAGGAGGAGGAGGAGGAGGAGGAGGGAGGAGGAGGAGGAGGAGGAGGAGGAGGAGGAGGAGGAGGAGGATCGAGGATCGAGCGGCCCCAGCGCGGTCTGCGGCGGCCGGCCGCCGCGCTCGCGCGGGGGGCGAGAGGATCGGCCGCGCACGGTGCGCAGGCCGAGCGTCAGTAGACCCTGACGCCGTGGGCCATCTTCGGCGAGAGGTTGCCGTCGACGGGGTCCACGGTCCGAGGGTGGCCGTGCAGCTGGTACACGGTCCACCTTTAGGCGCTGGGATCTGGTCCTCGGTCGCCTGGGACGTCGGCACGCCCCGATCCGTCACGATCACCACCACGTTGGCGAGAAGGTAGACCCAGTCGAACGCGCTCGATGGCGGTGGTCTGGGCGTGCTTCGTGGTCGGATTTCTGGAGAAGCCCTCGCAGAGCTTGCGCAGCTTCCTCGCGTGCTGGGGTCGAGATTGAACGCAGACGCCCGCGCACTTGCTACAGCAGTAGACGCCGAAAGCCAAGAACGTGTCGTGTCCAAGTTCACAGAAGGCTTGTTGCATCGGATCGTCTACTGCGCCTGCGGGGGGAGGTGGGTCATCAGTCGCTGCTGCTGCGACGGCGTCGGCAAGCTGGTTGCCAATCGCCTCATTGCCTGGCTGCTGAGATGATCCCGCTGCGTGCGCTTCTCGCTGAATGTCTGCACATCGGAGCGCAACCTCCGCCCTGATGTCGACCGCCGGCGTCCACGTATGGCACGTCTGGTCGAAGAACACCTTGTCCATCGCTCTGGTGACAGCCGTGGGGGCGCAGCGCCGCAGTGAGCCAGACCGCAACGAGGCCAACGACGCTTGAGTGGAAGCCGTGGCATTGCAGGTCCGGCAGCGGTATTGACCTGTCGGCTTGCAGTGCCAGAGGTCGTGGTCATCAGGTCGCCCGAATACCACAGGGACCATCTGCTGGCTGAGCGGCTTCGCAGGGACGGTGTCGCGGCCATAGCGCTGGTAGCGTATGACCCTCAGGCACGCCTGCGAGAGGAACTGAAGGACCAACCTGTGCTGTTTCATGGCCGCCACGATGGACTCCGACAGCGCTCTCGCCACCGTGTGCTGGATGGCCCCGAGTCGCGCGAAGTAGTCCGCCCAAGCGTTGCCAATCCAATCGCAGATCTCACGGGGTTCCGCCTCCATCAGCTCGGTGGCCGATCGATGGGCAGGGGTCCATCTGAAAATAGGGGCGCCCTCTAGGGTTCGCTCCCTGGCGGCCGTGAGGATGTCGCGCCACACCCTCGCATGCTTCGAGCGGCTGCTGGCCAAGTGCGGGCCCCCTTCGGCTCCCTCCTTGACCAGGCCTGCGAGGTCCGTCACGAACTCGAGGTGATCAGGGTGAGCCGCCAGCCCCATCTTGATGGCGTACCGCTCCGCACGACCCACGGTCTGCACCAAGTATGGAAGCGGCCCGTAGAGCGCACGAACGGGCATCCAGCTGTAAGAGTCAAGCTGGACGACGGCCTGCTCGCACCGCCTGATGTCGGGCAAGCTGGAGTCAAAGCCCGAGCCATCTGTGTAAGACGTGGGGCCCCATGAGCCCGTGGTGTCGCCCCAGTGGTACACGCCGCTGCCGATCGAGTCCAAGGATGGGAGACCCGCAGGCGGCTCAGGAGCCCCAAACACTAAGTAGGTTTGGTCGTAGTTCGGGGATCCACTGCCCAGTCCTGCAGCGCGGAGTTGATCGCGAACTTCAAGCAGGTGCGGAGGGATGGCAAGGAATGCGTGGTCCTTGGCCCTCTGTGTGGCACCGACACACTGGGTGTTAGCCGCCATCGCTGTGGACTCGGTAAGCCCGTCCCTCAGGTCATCAGGGGAGGGCTCTGCAGGAGGCTCTTCCTCGGGGACGTCCTCGGGCACCTCCCCCACGCCAGGGAAGAAGTCGTCCGCCTCCTCCATCATCACGGCGCTGACCTCGATGCCGTCGGTCAGCCTGCTGCGATCTCCTGCCGGCTGTGGTGTGGCGGGGATGTCGTCGGATGACCGTTGAACTTCCCGGGGAGCTTCTGGAGCTCCATCGGGCGACGGATGTGGAAGCAGATCTCCTTCATCACCGTCTCTGACACCAATCGGATCCTCCTGATGCTCTGGTCCCGTAGCCTCTGGGGCTGCGGATGCGCCAGCACCGGTTGGCTGCGCACGTTCGTCTTCAAGAAGCCCAGGGCAATCGAGGAAAACGTGGCCCCAGCACGTGTGCTGGTCGGGGACGGCTCCACACGCCTGGCGTGGGCGCATCGGCTGCTGGAGCTTCATGTCCCGCCGAATGGGGATGGGAATATTGTCGGCCCAGTGGGCCTGCAAGGCCCCAAGCCGCCGGGGGTGACATATCCCCTTGACGGCGTAGCGCAAGCCTCGGTGCCAGATCGGGGCACCCACATCCGTGTACCAGTGCCGCTGTAGCCGCGCGTGCTGCCAGCGCTGCATGCCCTCCACCAAGAAGATCTTGAGGTAGGCAGGGCAGGTTTGGAGCAAGTCATAGTGCCGCCCCACATCGTCACGTAGCGCCTGTGGTGAGGCCATGTCCCAGCCAATCCGTCGTAACGTCAGCAGCGTGACCCCGAGCGGTCCCCGCACCTGGTCCCACCTGGGGTTACCATGGTGCTGGTTGAAGGCAGTCCAGGCCCTCCAGAGGCGGCTCAAAGACGTGCGCCCATCCCAAATCCATCCAGCATACCGTAGTACCACGTCTAACGTCGCACCATAGATGGGATCGTAGTGCTCGGCTCGATGGGTAAGCAGATAGCTGGTGACGCCCACTTTGGATGTACCAGGGGCTCCATTGAGAACGGCTGCGCAGCGGCGCAGCTCCCGAAGGACCTCGTCGGTTACGCCTGAGACCCCAGCTCCGTGCGCCACGGCTGGCATGGCACCCGTGCGCCAGAGTGTCGTAGTCCGCCTGCCCACTGCTCGTTGTAGTATGCCGAACCGATGGCGGCGGGCCCGTAGCTGATCCAAGCGCTTCTTGGCCACGGTGCGTCGGACCTCGGGCCAGATCTCCTGCGAGAGGGCCGCTGTCGATCGCGGGGCGCGCGGCCTCGGCCTCGGGCCCCGTGGGGCCCGCCTGCGGGCCCCACGGGGCCCACGCGAGCGGAGGCGGGTCGCAGGGGTGCGCTTTAGATCGGGCATGTCCTCCTACAGGCGGATATTGAAAGAACGATGGGGGGGAAAGCAAGCACGCCAGAATAACCAAAAAATGTCGAAACATAGTCACCAGACTTTTGTTTGACTGTTTTTGAATATTCCCCCTGCAGAGGGGCATTCCTTCAGGTCACGCCCCCAGGGGGAGGGGTCGGGGCCTCTGGGGCGGCGGATGGGCAGAAGGTCGGACAGGGAGTTTGTCTGTGGAGGCCTGGGCACGCGAGGGGCACCCCTGGGTGGCGACATCCAAACCCCGCGGTCGACCCGCATCAGAAGGATGCGCGGTAAGGATGCAAGGGCCTTGGAGGGCCATATTGACGCTTTTCGAACGGGGCTGGCCAGCGGAAGCTGCTGAGGATGGGACGAAGGGGCAAGGATGCAAGGGTGCCCTTGGGAAGGTTGCCCATCCTTACTATGCGAGCTGACTGTACCCCCGGCCACCACCATTTCTCCTGAGCCGATGGGAGGCGAGAGTGGGGTTCGGGCATCCCCGGAACGCCCTCGGCGAGGCGCAACCGCTGCAATGCATCCCGAGGCTCGACAACCGCCGCGAACCGACGAGGACGTGAGAAAACCGCCGCCGAATAGTTGGCGCCCGTCGGATACCTCAGGCTGAATCCAGACATGTCGACATCCTGACGGCGACAGGCAAAAGTGACCCTGGGCACGCAAGAGTGACCGTTGGTGCGAGGCTTTCTGGGGGCCAAGCACAAGCGCGCACGGCGCTACCACCGCATCGCGTTCGGCGATCGGGGTGGCCCCATTGAGCCCGCAACAAAGGTCACTCTGGCGAAAGGTCACTCTTACGTGTACAGTAGGGGCCCGACCGAGAAACCTTCCACAAGAAATCCCACCCTGAGACCCCAGGACGCCCCTCGGTTTTTGGTGCGCATGGGAACGTCACGCTTTCCATGGCAAAACAATCGAAACCCAAGAAACCCAGGGTACTCTAGAGGCAAGCAGGGTGTTTCTCGGCATGGGCCCCCACTGCGGTCGATCCTGGAGAATCTGCCGCTCCGTGTGCCCGCCCGGGATGTTGCGGAGTACCACGGTGGTGCTTCCCTCCGCCAGGCCGCCCCCAGTCTCCGCGGCCTCCCGCGCCGGCTGCGCCTCTGGCAGGGGGCGGAGCATCTGCAAATGAGCGGCATTGTTTTTGTTGGTTGCCCTGCTCTAAAGCGGAACCAGGCCGAGGATAACATGGGACGAGGATGAATCGAGAATCTCTGAGACCTGGCGGATCCGAAGATTGTATCGGGCGTCGCGGCCTGCTCGGAGCGCTCCAGAAAGCTCTGAGAGCGTTCTGGACTGCAACGGACGTATCCTCGTACTAGCCCCGTCCGATCCTCACCCGCCCACGCCCAACCAACACCGCCACCCGCAACTGGCCAGCCAGCGCCCGCGCAGCCTAGGCCAGCAGCCGCCCAAGCCCGCGCCCGCACACCAGCCGCGATTTGATTGGGCAGGACATGCGAGAGGACACAAACCCTTCCGAGGGCCACATTGCCATGGGAATGCAGGAAGCATGGGTCGCGAGACACAGGCCACCAGGGTACCTTTGAGTTGGCAGGGTCGACATACTGATCAGGGCCGACTGCAGTGGGAGAAGACAGAGCAAAGCTGAGGGGACGAAGCGCAGACGGAGCATCACGTGTGCTCAGAGTGGGCATCCAGGCGAATCGGAGGGAGCTCCACCGACCACCGACAAAGAGTTGAAGAAAATCGAGTTGTCAAACGGCATACCGTGCACTGGATTCGACCATTTCGAACGGAGCCAGGCCGCCACGTGGAGATCTTCGTCTGAGCGAAGAGAGGAAAGGGGCCCTGCGCGAGAGGACGCAGCGACCTTGCGGTGGCACGCCCGAGCGACACCCTGCACCAGGGAAAGCTCGGACCTGCCACCGCCCGAGCAGCTTCGGCCCCCCCCCCCCGATGGGTTGTCGCTAGCGGTGGTCCCCTGCCTTCTCCCCCGAGACATGAGGCCCCCTCTGCTTCGGCGCCCATGCGAGCGACAAGAGAATTGGGTTTTATGCGAGAGGACGTCGCGACCTCACGCCGCGTCTTACGCGGGCCGCCAGCGCGGCACACCACATTGACGACCAAGGCGCTTCCGGCCGACCTGACCCGGGCAGCTTACCCGCCAATGTCCGTGAAGACGACCAATTTCTGCTGCGTCGCTCTTCTGTCTTTCTCGCGCAAGAAGGAAGGCGAGGACGAGCGGGGAGTGAGGAGGGAGGGCGGGAGTGAGGGGGAGGGGGGACGATGAGTATCCCTGGGATCCTGGCGTCGCATTTGTTCACAACGGGCGATGTTGCCTTATTTCGGGCCCCGGGGCCCTCACAAATCAATCCGGCTCAAAACATACCACAGAGAGATGGGGACTGGGGCTCTGGTCGCGATTGTTCACAAGGTTGCGATTTGCTCATCCCGCCAGATCTCAGGGTCTGCAGGGCAAGGAAGGTAAAAGTGGCGGTGGATGCGCAATCATGGTAGAGGAGGGCGGAGAAGAAGATGATCGGCAGCAGCAGGAGCAAGAGCACGCCCGACTGAGGGAGAGAGTAGGAGCCGGCGGTGGACAAACCTCCCTTTAGTAAACCTCCCCTTAATGAAAACGGCCTGGGACCGAAACCAGCAGACCTGGACCCGCAATAATGACGGCCGCGACGCCCTCTCGCGAACCGAAAGCGGCCAATTCCTTAATCGACGTGTCAGGGTAGGAGGTCTATCCACCTCCGAAGGAGGGAGTGGGGGAAATCACGGCGTGCGAGTCAGGCAGCAGATGCTCCAGCGCACACCGAGCGCCATCGTGCCACCTCTGTCGTAGACGACGGGCTGCCGGTGCCACTGCTCGCACAAAAACGCGGGGGACTTACGATCCGCGGCATCGATGCAGACATGAGTGTCGTTGGGACGTTTGCTAGCGGGCACTCTGCAAGTAGTGAACACGCTCGGTGATTAGTGGGGGGCGATCAATGGGGGGTCAACGAGGGCTGCCGAAGAGGGGCCCTCCTAGGGCCCCTGAAGGGGCCCGTTCGAGCCCAGGAGGGGGCCTTCAGGGCCCGAAGAGGGCACGTTTCTTCCCCCCCCCCCCCCCCCCCACGCATCGCCGGAATTGCCAGGCCATGGGGCGATCCTCTTCGGGGGTCCATCTCCAGATCCACCGCCTGTGGATGGAACCGACGTCCTGGGACCCCAGCGAGCGGTGGATGCGGATCTATATTTTGGCCGCGCGAGGGGCCCCGAACGCGTCCAGATCCACCGCCTGCCAAGGCCCCCGGAGATCCATCTCCCAGGCGGTGGTTATGAAAAAATCCCCGCCTCGGAGGCGGGGCCACGCACTGTCCCGGGTCGACACCTACCCAGGCCAGTCCGGCTTTGCAGGATCCCGCAAGAGCCCGTAGGATCCTGCGGGATCCTGCACGCCAGCCCGGGTCCGTGCAGCCCTGGCTCTGCAGGATCCTGCAAGATTCGGCGCTCTTGCTGACCCCCGTTCGTATTGACGAGGGTGCGCCGCTGGATCTCCCCAAGGGGGGTGGGGGGGTTAGGACCCCCCCCTTTAGTGTATTCAGGGAGATCCACTGGCGCACTTTCCGTATTGACCCCATCCCATCGGGGCGGACGAAAAGGGCGGATAGACCAGGGGGCGGGCGTTACACAGATTCGCCTGGGAGCCTCGTCGAAGACATATGGGCGATCGGAGGCTCTGGATATATGTACTGCTCTCCCCTGTACGATTCGCCCCCTATCGTCGCCTTCCATCTCACGGCTCCCGACCTATCTCGGGGGGGGCACGTCCAGCGGGGAGCAAGAACTCTGGCAGGGGCTCCCGGGGAGAGAATGCTGGACGTGTGGGCGCACTACAGCATGTTGCAGCATCGTTGATGCATCTTGGGCTCACGCTGGTCATCCTCCTCCGCCGCCTCCTTCTCCTCCTCCTCCTCCTCCGCCATCTCCTCCGCCTCCTCCTCCTCCTCCTCATTCTCCTCCTCCTCTTCCTCCTCCACCACCCCCTCCTCCTCGTCCTCCTCCTCCTCGCATACCGCTCCCCATCGTCACCATTTTCAGAAGTATCATCATAATTACACACTCTCCATCATGATCCTAATCACGAATTTCATCATGTTCATCTTGTCTCTCAGCATCAACAGTATACTACATCACCCCAAACTACCTTCTCAAAACTTATCACCATCGTCATGCCCAGGATCACGATCTTCATCACCACCAGCAGCAGCAGCAAAACTGCATCATCATCATCATCATCATCAGCAGCATCAGCATCAGCATCAGCATCAGCATCAGCATCATCATCATCATCATCATCATCCTTAACATCATCCTTATCAGCATCATCATCATCATCGTCATCCTCATCATCATCATCGTCATCATCATCATCATCATCATCATCATCCGCATAACCGTACTCATCCGAATCAACATATTCTGATCTTCCTCCTCCTCCTCCTCGTGCGCCTCCTCCTCCTCCTCATCGTCGTCATCATCATCATCAGCATAATCATCATCAGGCTCAACAGTCGCATCATCATCCGTATCATCAGCATTACGATCAGCAGCCTCACCATTCCCATCATCCTCATCCTCATCCTCAGCATCATCATCATCATCAGCATCATCATAAACATCTCCAGCCTGATCGTCAGCATCATCACCATCATCAGCATCATCACCACCATCATCATCATCAGCAGCATCATCAACGTACTCATCAATAATCCTCATCACTATGATCCGCATCGTCATCATCCTCATCATCGCCATCATCACCATCACCACCACCACCACAACCATCACCATCATCAGCATCATCATCAGCAGCAGCATCATGATCACCATCATCATGACTGACAACATCATCATACGTAGCCGCATCAGGCTCAACAGCTGCATCATCATCCGTATCGTCATCATCACCATCATCATCATAATCATCAGCAGCATCATATGCATCCTCATCCGCATTACCAACATGATCCTAATCATCATTAGCAGCATGTTCATCAGCATCAACAGCATCGTCATCATCATCGTCATACTCATCATACTCATAAGCAGCATCACCATCATCATCATCAGCATCGCCATCATCATCATCATCATCATCATCATCATCATCAGCATCAGCATCATCATCATCATCGCCATCATGAGCCATCAACAACACAATTGTCATCATCAGCATCAGCAGCAGCATCATCAGCCGCATCCTCATCCACATCTTCATCCTCAGCATCATCATCACCCTTATCTTCTCCTCCTCATCATTAGCAGCATCAGCATCAGCACCACCCGCCTCCTCCTCATCCTGATCATCATCAGCAGCATCAGCATCAGCATCAGCATCATCGCCAGCAGCAGCATCAGCATCAGCATCAACAGCAGCATCAGCATCAGCATCAGCATCGCCATCGTCATCAGCACGACCATCATCATCATCATCATCATCATCATCAGCAGCAGCAGCAACATCATCATCCTCATCATCATCATCATCAGCAGCATCATCATCATAATCATAATCATCGTCATCATCGGCATCATCATCAACAGTATCAGCATCATCACCATCAACACCAGCATCGGCAACATCACCATCATCAGCATCAGCATCATCAGAATCAGCATCACCGGCATAAGCATCAGTAGCCTCATCATCGTCACCGTCATCAGCATCATCAGTATCACTATCAACAGCATCATACGCACCATCATGATCAGCATCAGCATCAGCATCATCACCAGCAGCATCAGCATCGTCATCATCATTATGAGCAGCAGTATCGGCAGCATCATCATCATCAGTAGCATCAGCATCAGCATCCTCATCATCAGTAGCATCGTCAGCAGCAGCATCATCATCAGTAGCATAGTCAGCACCATCATCAACGCCATCATCAGCATCGTCATCATCATCATCATCAGCATCATCATCATCATGATCATCATCAACAGCAGTACCATCGTCATCAGCATTATCAGCATCATCATCATCAGCATCATCATTATCATCATCATCATCATCATCAGCATCATCATCATCATCATGATCAGCATCATAACCATCACCATAACCATCGGCATCATCAGCAGCATCAGTATCATCATCAGTATCATCATCATCAGCATCACCATCATCAGCATCAGTATCATCATCATTATCATCGTTATCATCATCGTCGTCAGCATACTTATTCCCCCGTCCGCCCTTCCATCTCGTTCCCTCGGACGGCCGTGTCCTGCGCCCAGACCCCTGGGGCCGCGGGGAAAGATGGCGCGGGCTGCTCCGCCTGGTCCGCCTCCAGAGAGGGGAAGAACGTCGAGCCAGTGTGCTCGGACAGGCCGTCCTCGGACGGGGGGGGGAGGAAGGGCACGAGGAGCGAGAGGAGGGCGATGAGGCGGAGGGAGGAGGAGGGGGAGAAGGAGGGAGACGGGGGAGGAGGAGGGAGAGCAGGCGGAAGGAGGAGGGAGGAGGAGGGGGAACTGGAGGAGGACGGAGGAGGAGGAGCAGGATACCGCTCAAGCATCATGGCCAAGGCCCCGCAAACGCACACATACACACACACACAAAACAGCAGGAGGAGCGTCCTGTTTAGCGAACGGTCATCGCGAGAGAAGGGGGAAGGAGCAGGACATGGGAGGAGGAGGAGGAGGAGGAGGAAGGGGCCGAGAAGGACGAGGAGCAAGAGGAGGGTGAGGACGGGGAGGACGAGGAAGAGGAGGAGGAGGAGGAGAAGGAGAGAGGAGAAGGAGAAGGAGGAGGAGGAAGAGAAGGAAGAAAAGGAGGAAAAGGAGGAGGAGGAGGAGGACGGGGGGAGGAAGCGGAAGAGGAGGAAGAGAGGAGGAGGAAAACGAAAAGGAGGAGCAGCGCAGGAGGAGGAGGAGGGGGATGAGAAGGAGGAGTAGGGGGAGGAGGGTGAGGAAGATGGGGAGCAGGAGAGAGACGGGGGAGGAGGAGGAGGAGAGAGGAGGAGGAGGAGGACGAGGAGAAGGAGAAGGACTAGGAGAACAAGGAGGAGAAGGGGACAAGAAGGAGGAGGGAAAAGAGGAAGAGGAGGAGGAGAAGGAGGAGGAGGAGGAGAGGAGGAGGGAGGAGGAGGAGGAGGGGGGGGAAAGGGAGGAGGAATAGGAGGAGGAGTAGGAGGAGAAGGAAGAGGAGGAGGAAAAGGAGGAGCAGGAGGAGGGAGAAGGAGGAAGAGGAGGGAGGAGGAGGCGGAGTAAGAGGTGGAGGAGGGGGAGGAGGAGGAGGAGGATGAGGAGGAGGAGGACGAGGAGGAGGAGGAGAGAGGAGGAGAGGAGGGGGGGAGGAGGAGGAGGAAGAGAAGGAGGAGGAGGAGGAGGAGGAGGAGGAGGAGGAGGAGGGAGGGAGGAGGAGGGGGAGGAGGAGCAGAAGGAGAAGGAGGGGGAGGAGGAGGAGGAGGAGGAGGAGGAGGAGGAGGAGGAGGAGGAGAAGGCGGAGCAGGCGAAGGAGGAGGAGGAGGAGGCGGAGGAAGGAGAAAGGGGAGGAGGAGGAGGCGGAGGAGGAGGAGGAGGAGGAGGAGGAGGAGGAGGAGGAGGGGAGGAGGGGGAGGGGGAGGGGGAGGGGGAGGAGGAGGAGGGAGGAAGGAGAACGGGGAGGAGAAGGAGGAGAAGAAGGAAGAGGAAGGAGAAAAGGAGGAGAGAAGAAGGAGGAGAAGGAGGAGGAGGGGGAGGAGGAAGGGTAGCAACAGGAATTGACGTGCGCCTGGCACCTTACCCTCGGGTCCTGACGCTGCAGCTTCTCACAACGGGCGGGTCCGCCCCGCTTCGGGCCCCGAGGCCCTCACAGATGGGTCCGGCTGGAAAAATGTCACAGGAAGATGGTGTCTGGGGCTCGTGGCGTTTTTTGGAGGTGCTGCAATTTTTTGTAACGTGGGATCTTAGAAGGTCCCTCAAATCCGACGATTCGACAAAAGCGAGGCATCGCGAAGAATCAAGACCGCAGGCCTACGGTAAGGGCCCGACCACAAGAAACATTCCACAAGACACCCAACCCTGAGACCCCAGGACGTCCACTGATTTTTGGTGTGGGATCGTCACGCTCTCCACAGCAAAACCATCGAAATCCTAGAAACCCACGGCACCCTGCAGGAAAGCAGGGTGTTTCTTGGCACGGGTCTTCACTGTAGGCCGAGGGGGTCTGGGTTTGGCAACCCCCGGCTTCCCCACGCCGCCGCGTCCTCAAACCAGCCCCCGCTCAGGCCAGTGCTCGGCTCGCCGCAGACGCTAAGCTCCTGCCACTGCTGCGGGGACGCGTCCGCCGCACCGTCCTCGGGGCACGCATCAGAGACCACGGCACGGCAGAAACCTCGAACACGGCTCGCGTCGCGAAAGAATCGATCGCGAGAAATGTTCGGCCTCCAGGAGCCCTCGGCGGGCACCAGGACCGTCAAAAACCGACTCGGGCTGAAAAGCAGGTCCCAGGGAAGGGGTCAAGGCCTCCAGGGGTTGGCGTTGTGACAAAGCCGATGAAAAAAAGTCGAGGTTGAGGGGTATCCCCAAGATCCCCAACTTAGTTCATTTAACCAGGCCTCCTAAATGTGATCCGAACAGATGCGGTCGGGGGATCGCGCCACATCCCCGATGCATCGCCGGCTCATCGGCGGCGCAACGGCGCCGTCGGCGCGAAAAATCGGGCCCCGCATGGAGCCGCATCGCGATCGCCACCCGATCGGTGCCCGTGCTCTGAGAGCCGGGCGTTGCAATTCTTCCACGCCGGGCGTCCTCCCCCGGCTTCGGGCCCCTGGCCCCTCACGGATCGATGCGGCGCGACAAGTGACGCAGGAAGAGGAGGTCCGGGGCTCCTGTCGTGACTGCTCGCGGCGCTGCATTCTTGTGGCAGCGCTGGATCTCAGGGTAAGTGCCCCTGGCCCAAGGTGCCCCCAGGATCTCCGAGCAGGCACCCCGCGGCCTCCAGAGCACCCCTCACCGGGCCCCGACCTCAGCACGATCCCCCAGCACAACCCCCCAGCACGACCCCCCAGCACAACTTCCCAGCACAACCCCCCAGCACAACCCCCAGCAGACCCCCCCTGCACAACCCCCCAGCACGATCCCCCAGCACAGCCCCCCAGCACAGCCCCCCAGCACAGCCCCCCAGCACAACCCCCAGCACAACCCCCCAGCACAATCCCCGTGCACAACCCCCCAGCAACCCCCCAGCACAAACCTCCCAGCACAACCCCCCAGCACAACTCCCCAGCACAACCACCAGCACGACCACCAGCACAACGTCATCGCCGTGACAATTAACCAGGCTTTCGAGCATCACTCGCGCGATGGCCGCACGGCATAGACCAAGACGAGGAATGTCAAACATATGATTTTAGAATAGGTCCGCGAGGCTGAGGCCAGGCATCCCGCCCTAGTTTGTTTGAGCTCCCTGTGCAGTCGGACCTGGGCCAGAAGAACCTCCCTCAACTGCAGGAGACTCTCCGTCGGCCAAAACAAACGGAACATCCGGGGGTACCCTCCCCAGGATGCACAAGAGTACCCAACGAGCACGAAGAACACTAGGGTACTGGGCAGTTGTTGATACATAGGGTTTGTTTTTCTAATACAGGATGTTAATGCATGACTAATGTATTAATGCATGTGTGCATGAACCCATCGTTGCTTTTAATACTAAATCCGCGCGCGCAGATCATGTATGACAAAACGGCACCGTACCCTCTCCATGCATGTTTCATACATTTTGCATTTTTAGTACATGATCCGCGCGCGGAGCATGTATCAAAAATAGGGAGCGCACAAAGGACGTACGCGCCCAGCTATGTACATGAACACGGCCCCTCGATCTGCGAGACCGGCCGCGTGGTACGAACTTTCGGGCAACGCGTACTCCCGAAACAGGGCCCCGCACGAGCCCCCGGGGCGCCCCGCGAGCCCTGGGGCACCCGACGAAGGATGTGCCACGCAGCAGCGGGGAGACCTCCGAGGAGTCGCCTCTGAATCAGGGGCACAGAAAGTGGCACAAACATAAAAACTCGGAGGTCCGCGCGGATGTCTCGGATCGGCGCTGGGGCCCCCCGGCGACGCCTCGGGCGCCGCCCCGGGCGCGCTCCGCGCGCCAGGGAAGGGTGTCCAGCGCCGATCCGAGAAATCCGCGCGGACCTCCGAGTTTTTATGTTTATGTCACTTTTTGTTCCCCTATGAATGGAGGGCGGAGGAACCACCCTCAGAATTAGTGCCCCGGCAATACAAGCCGTTTACTAGCAAGCGCCAGTAGTGGGGGCGGGGTGGCGTCTCCTCCCCCCCCTGGAGGTAGGGGGCGTACGAGAGGCTCCCTGTCTTCTCTGGGGGCCACCTCCTCCCCTTGCCTTTACCGCTTCGGCGTGCCGACGACTGATATGCTGTATCTTCGGGGGACCTTGTCTGTCCCAACGCGCCAACGATCTGTGTCGAACCCACGTCGAACACAAGTCGGTCCGAATTGAATCTGCGTCGAATCCGCGTCGAATACACCCCGAATGCACTCCGAGTCGAACCTTCGTCGGACCAAGAGAAAGGCTGGAATTTGCCGGACAGACACCTCTGAAAATGCAACGCAACGACTGGCGCCGATGGGCACGCCCGAGGTTCACGCACCAGAAGAGCCTTAAAGAAGACGGGCGACCACTGACAGAACAGCCGAGGATGTGCAGGCGCCACGCGCTTCCCCTTGCCGTCTCGACCCGGGGGGCGCGGGCTGGACGGGCAACGGGACCTGAGCTGGCGCCGCGAGGGGACGAATGCCAGCAGGACAGGAAGGCCGGCAACTGCGACAGCACAGCCGAAAACGGACCGCATCGGTCGACGGAGACCCAAGCCGGCCCAACGGCGGCAGCAAAGCGAGGCCGAGACCGACCGAAAACCGACGGGCCACTGAGCAGCCTGGAGGGGCGCGGCGAGGCAGCAGCAGCACAGC